TTTGGTCATTGATACGTCAAACCGGAATTGCCGTCTACACGTCAAACACAAAGCCCAAGCCAGGACCTGAATCCTTTAAACCCGCCCTAACAACCCCCTGAGCACGAAGCTTGCCGAAATCCAAAGTTCTGTTAATTACATGCATTATCCCCTAACCTAAAGTAATCTATACTAGTTCTGAAGTAAATAGTGTTTACCCACATGAATCGCCTTATGTCATTTTTTGCCGATAAACAGAATATGCAAACTTTCTGACAGTAATGTGTGATAAGTCACGCACCAAACCTATACTCTCGATATACATGTTGCTCTTACTTAAAACACTATAGGGGCCAACAAGATACGTATATTAAAGTGCCATGCTTTCTTGATGTGCTATCATTCTAATTTGAAATAATGACATAAATGGTTACCACTCATCCTTCATTGTTTTTCAAGGTCGGGTTAATCACAAACATATTTGAATATATGCAACAGCTATACTTACTTATCTTTATACTTAAAAGCATTAGGTTTGTCTGTCATACAGACCCCGAAACAAATATGTCCAATACAGCCCAAAATTTGTCAAAATGAAGAAAGTCTCTTGGCTCCTCTTTATTATATTTTATAACTATTGTTTAACAGCTGGGTTTTTTCTGTCAAATATGTTCATTTCAGAGATTAGATGTTATTCTAGCATTAGGTCTGTGGTACGTTCAGTGCATCAGCGTTGGCTTAAAAACGACATTTACATATATAAATACATACAGAAGAAATGCTTAGCATTTATCTTTCAAGGAAGAATGTGGGACTTGCTTAATACATTACATGTATGTGGACATATATGTATGGACATTTGGATGAATATAGATATACCTCCTTATAGATAGTGATCGTAGATGATTGTAGAACGTGCATGAAGAAAATGGAATAATTATGTGAGTAATCGGGTTAATACCACGTTTAGCAATATTCAGCCATATTGCGATATTGGTTTCCAACATACAAGACGGACCATGAAATTATGACTTGAATTTGGACCTGGCTTTCTGGTGTGATGTAACACCCCATCATCTCCCGTAGAAAAAGTGCTTAAAGCAGGAATAAAGATCACGAGATGATACTGATGTATACATCTGGACATATATTTGCGTAGCATTACTACGTTAATTCATCAGTATATATGTATTTTGCGCAAAAAGATATTGTAGGATCGACGCTGACATGCGCATATAACCTATTCACCAGTGCTGTAATATTTAATTCTTTTGTTTTTTGATACATATCGATAGGAACATGGAGAGTCTATCTGAAGACATATAGACATGCATGGGATCTTTTGGATAGTTGTACTTCACGGTTAGAATAACGCTTAGTCTCTGAAAATATATTATTTTGGTTAAAACGAGAAACTATATTTAAATTTAAAAGGAGCCCCAGTGAGATGGAAATTTCAGCCTGAACCTGTTGAACATCTAGGCTTGCATTGCAGTAAGACCTAGGCGGAAGGGAAAATAATATGGTTCAGGGACTGTGAGACAAACTACTTCACGGTCTGTATCGAGCTACTAAATAAGAGCCATCTGAGACAGCGACTCGACACCTGTTTGCACCCATCAGATACCAGTCACTACTATCACTACTTCTCTCTCCAAACGAAAAGAAATACGATAAATGTCGGAAGTGTATATATTTAATCCTTCTAATTTACTATTTAGATACCTGATTTAACTTTAAAGTAATTATTATTTGAAATGCAATATTTCTTAACTTTTAAACTACACAAAGTATAATATAAAGATTAGAATTCCTGTAACGGACAGTTTTTTAAGAATGAAATATTAGTCGATTAGTCCCATTTTTCAGATATGCTCTTCAGTAGTATTATTGTATATCTCCAGATTGATGTTTACATTGTTGTTCTCATTATTTGTGGTTAATTTAAAAAGCAACATAGAAAATTCATATTCTACCATGACGAAAGAATACAGAGTATACAATAACTCGCAATTGTTCAAAAATCACAATAACATATTTGATATAAACAGAGGTGGTGATGCTTTAATCTCTACATTGTGCCCTTGTTCGTGAGTCCTTTTTCTATTCAGCAAACATCCCAAATCCGAAACTCCACATTATATCCGATTACACTGACCCACACTGGCCCGAGCTCGATCCTCTCAAACGTCAGTTCTCCATGCGATACTGACACCCTTGTACGTCTCCCAGACCATAGAGAATAAATTTGAAAGGAATCCAGCTCCAGTCTGGAACGATTTAGCAAGCCCAGATCGCCCCAATTCTATCCATGGAAGTAAACATTAATAAAACAATATTGTTCTTGGCTCCTTTAGATTATATTTTGTAGGTACATATTTTTAACTATGACAATTTTACTGACACTGGTACTGTCCCTGTTGAAGCTTTTTATAGCTCGAATAAGAATTTCGAACTATCGTCCATTGTTCGATGTCAATACATTGATGACAAGTGAGGATATCATATAATAATCGTTGATGCCGCGCTTCACTATAATAAAACTTATAATCAGGTTGAGTAGTATGTACATTACTACAGTGATCATGTACCTGATCATGCCCTTCGTAATATCAGAGACCATATAATAGATCTATTATATGGTCTCTGGTAATATCAAATACTAATATGTTATTGTATGATGAATTTAACTGGATCACTGGTGACATGTGATATTAATATTCCATCAATTTCTTTCCTGGTTGGTCTATCCATGTCTACAAAATAAAAATAATAAAATTAAAAAGGAAGAGAGAACAATTCTTAATTTCAGGCTAGAGCTGTGGAAATCTAGACTTTCCCAATCATTGTAGCCTAGCGTTGGTCTCCTTTTTCACTTTATCCTCTTGTGCCTACGTCACAGCTCATACCACACAATAACAACACCAGTTTGCTCCCCGCCGGAGCTCCTGGATTTTGGTTATATCATCTAACATGGCTAACTCTGCTCTTAAGTAAACAGGAACATAATCAAAGAGGGGTCCTTTATCATTCCTATTTGACTGCTTATAAAAATCTTTTATCTCTCCTCACAGCTGGTTAATATATATTTTTGCTGCTGAATATTCGAAACAGAGTGATTGGGTTGGTACTACACGTGTATACGGTTCTATTTTAAATGACTGCAGCGCTCCATTATGAAAACAAATTGTTTTAACGCCGCTCTCAGCAGTATTCCAGTGATATATGACGTCGGTCTGTTGTATATGAAATAAATTCAAATTGAATCTTGAATCTTGAAAGTTTCCTCAAATCAGTATGACATGCAGTATTCAGTATATCAACTGCAATATACTGTATACAACATGCAGTATACAGTGTGTCGAGAGCTCCCTGCTGGGCTGGAGCACACATTTCCTACACCTCTCCCTTCGGCAAACACCTCATGGGAGGTGGGGGGTGTAACGAGGTCGCAGGTCAGGCGTGCACTCGTCAGTTGTGTTATACGGTCAAGAGTAAGATCTCCCGGACGATCACTGCACTAGAGGAATGTGGATTGTTGATGTTTACAGCGTGTTTGGAACTGGGAGTTGAACACTAAGCACTTTTAGAGAAGAGCTCACAATAAAACGTTATGGACTCGCGAACGGACTTGTGTTTTCAATTCAAGACGTACATGTATCAGGTTCAACTTCTGCGACAGATATAACTTTGTTACCGCTTCCTAACTGTAACATTAACTGAACGTTACGCCTTTTATACACATTTGTGGGGCGACAATGCGACAACGAGACATACTTTGACATTGAAAATGTCGCGTTACGGCATTGTCGGCCTTTTATAAAATATAGAAAAAGATTAGTCAAAGAGCGACAACGCAACAATGCGACAAATGGCCAAAATGTCGCGTTGTCCAATTGTCGCGCTTTGGTTAATTTTGACACGTTTGCTTGTTTTGGTAAGGGCGTCAATGCGATAATACGTCAACGCGACAATGTCCCTTCCAAGATTCCATAGTGATCCGTGCAAATAAAACTGAGTTATGAAATAGAAGTCTAACATGCCAATTAAAAGATAAAGTGTTAAAATACGCTATAGCAGCTTCTGATTTCATAGCTCTTCAAGAAGGATTATCAATAATGGGATGGGTGATCATCTGCATACCGAGTCTATACGCCGTGATTATAATGCTCTGAGTCAATGCATTTTGTCAAATGTATGTGTGATGACTTTGGCAGCTACAACAAACACTCGGCTTTCCGGGGAAAGGTTGTATTCTCTCATTACATGTCAATACACTCAGTCAAGTGTAGTCGGCAGCCATGTGGTCTGCTAGCGCACAACACACACACTTCCGGCGCTGTTACACGTGCGCACTCATTTATATAGAGACATCGTATGGATAAAGCGAGTGACTGGTTATATGATACTAAAACGCTACATTCCTCCCCCTTTAGTTAACAACTTGTTGTTTAAGCAATTAGTGAACAATGTTACTAACTCATCAGTCACTGAGAAAGTGTGAAAAATAGTGATCAACTCAAAGAGTTCAATGGAAATTTTCCCATAAAGTTCACTGAAGTATTCTTGAACACTGAAATTCACAAACTTAATGTTCATTCACTTGGTTTCTGAAATAAATGAATTGAGCATGCACCTTAAAGTTCAATCTGAAAAAAAACAAAACACTTAACAATGAAATACAGTAGTTTACAGATTTAGTCTATCTGGAGCTCGACGCACACGAGTCGATCTTCTCAACTCAACAGATGAGGACAGTTCTGGACTAGTGTCACATGTAGGTAATGTGGTACGCGGAAATGGCGTGTCTGCGGGTGATACTGGTACAGAACTAGGCTCTGGGAGCTCTGGTGAGAAAGTGATGACAGACTTCGACACTTCACTTTCTTCCAACAATCCTGGGGATTCTGGTTTCACAGCATCGGGGTCCACATAACGCTTGATTAGGTGATCTACATGTCGCCTCGCAATTTTGTTATTTTCCAAGCTGACTTTGAAGGAGATAGGACCTGTACACTGGATTATCTCCCCTGGTAACCAAGAAAGTTCCTGACGTAAACAAGATCACCGACAGCGAACTCCCGTGACTTTGTATGTCTATTGTGGTAGTTTGCCTGCTTCTCTTGTTTATGCTGAACTTTAACACCGATGTCAGGGTGAAGCAAGTCAAGATGGGAACGTGGACGTCTTCCCAATAGTAACTGCGCTGGAGATGGCCCTGTCGTAGTCTGCGGAGTGTTACGATACCTGAACAGGAATCTTGACGCCCTGGTGTTGATGGAACCGCCGCTGAGCTTCTTAAATCCCTGTTTGAACGTATGGACACTCCTCTCTGCCAGTCCATTGGACGCTGGATGGTAAGGGGATGTACAGATGTGTTTAATTCCATTTCTCTTGATGAATATAGCAAATTCATCACTTGTGAAACATGTCCCATTATCAGACACTATTGTCTCAGGTAGACCATGAATGGAAAATGTTCTCCGAAGACACTCAAGAGTGGCACTCGTAGTTGCACTGTTGACAGGGAAAACATCCATCCACTTAGAGTGAGAGTCTACGATGATGAGGAACATTTGACCTTGTAAGGGACCTGCATAATCAATGTGCAGAAGTGACCATGGTTTAGACGGCCAGTCACACGGATGTAACTTTGCTTCGCAGGGTGAAGAACGACTCTCCTGACATATGGAACAAGTCCTGACCTTGTTCTCCAGCTCTGAATCAATGCACGGCCACCATACAAGACCTCTGGCAATAGCTTTCATCCTAGCTATTCCAGGGTGAGCTTCATGCAACACATCTACACACTGTTTCCTACCCTGAGGTGGAACCACTACTCTGTTACCCCACAGAATCACACCATCCTGAACACTTAGCTCAGTTTTCTTCTGAATATATGGCTTTAGCTCTGTATCTGGCTTCAGGTTTTCTGGAAAACCACATTCCACTAACTTCTTCACTCTAGCTAACAAGGGATCCTTCCTTGTCCAAAACTGAATTTGTCGCACATTCACTGGGAATTCTGCCATGTTCTCGAGGAGCATTATTGTGTCTCCTGGAACAGGCGGCACAGACACAGAGGTTTGCAAAGGCAATCTGCTCAAACAATCTGCGTTTGCTAACTTTGAGCCTGGTTTATACACAATACTGTAATCATACGCTGCCAGCATCAAGGCCCATCTCTGGAGTCTGGCTGACGCCATCACTGGAATGCCTTTCTCTGCATCAAGTAGACCCATGAGGGGTTTGTGATCTGATAACAGCTGAAAGTTTCGTCCGAACAAATACTGGTGAAATTTCTTTATGCCAAACACTATTGCCAGTGCTTCTTTATCAAGCTGTGAATAGTTCTTTTCTGCAGGTGACAAGGAACGTGACGCAAACGCCACAGGCTTCTCAGTACCATCTGGCATGATGTGTGACAGGACGGCACCAACTCCATATGGAGAAGCATCAGCTGCTAAGTTGAGAGGAAGGTCTGGATTGTAGTGAGTCAAGACCTTACATGAAGACAAGTGAGATTTCACCTTTAGAAATACTGTATCATGCTTCTTGGTCCATGACCATGGAGCGTCCTTTTGTAGTAACCCATGTAGTGGCACTAACGTCGTGGAGAGATTTGGCAGGAATCTCTGGTAGTACTGTACCATCCCAAGGAATGACTTTAACTCTGTCACATTCTGAGGAGCTGGTGCGGACACAATAGCGTTTACCTTCTCCTCTAATGGATGCAGTCCCTGTGCGTCAATCCGGTGTCCCAGGTAAGTGACTGAGTCTTTCTTGACGTGACACTTTGAAGCGTTTAGACGCAAACCTGCTTTCTGCAATCTGTCAAGGACTTCATTCAGATTCTTGTTGTGTTCTGCATCATCAACACCTGTGACGAGAATATCATCGAGGTAGACGCACACATGTGGCAAGTCGCTGAGAAGACATTCAATTGTCCGCTGGAAGATAGCAGGAGCTGCCGACACCCCAAAAGGTAATCGTTGGTACTCGTATAGACCTTTATGGGTGTTAATTGTGGTGAGTTTCTTGGAATCATCGTCCAACACTATCTGCTGGTAGGCATTACTCATGTCCAATTTCGTAAACTTGCGACCACCTGAGAGTGATGCAAATAAGTCCTCAATCCTGGGTATTGGGTAACAATCTGGTTTAGCAACCTGGTTGACTGTTAGTTTGTAATCTCCACATATGCGCACTGAAGACTGATCCGACTTCAACACTGGTACGATGGGTGCTGTCCACTCTGAGTACTGCACTGGTTTTATGACACCCTGCTGCTCTAATCGTTCAAGTCCATTCTCAACCTTGTCCCTCAAGGCATAGGCCATGTTCCTGTGCTTGTAGAAGCGTGGTTGTGAAGGAATAGATATGTTAATCTTCACTTTTGTATCTTTCAACTCACCAAGTTCCTCCTTGAAGACATCGGAATGTGAGTTAAGGATACTTTGCACATCATCACAATCTACTCTGAGGATTGTTCCCCAGTCTAGACGAACATGTCGCAGCCAGTCGCGACCAAAGAGATTAGCTCTTCTCCCTTTCATTACAATCACTGGCAGTTCTGCTGACTGTTTGCCGTAGTTCACTTTCACTGAGCATGAACCAAGCAGAGGTATCTTCTCACCTGGGTAAGTACGTAACAAGGTATGAGGAGGTCCTAGTTTGGGTGGATCTTTCCCTAACGATCTGTAAGTGTCCTCATTAATCACTGAAAATGTGGCACCTGTATCCAGCTCCATGCTTAATGGCTGACCATTAAGTGCTAAATCAATAAACATTGGTGGTTCCTTCTCTCTCCTCCCAACAAAAGGTGTAGAGCTAGTCTCCATCTTGTAAATGTCATATATTTCACTTTCAACATCATCATAGTTATCAGAAGTGACCTGATTTGTCGCTCAACGCTTGTGCTGACCCCGACTTCGACCTTGACCTCTAGATCGGTACGAGCCACGTCCACAACGAGAACCTTTACTATTCTGTGACTGACGACATACCTTCCCAATGTGGCCAATTTTACCACAATTGTAACACTTTGAGGTACGAAAATGACAGTCCGGAGATTTGTGATTTCGTAAACCACATCTGTCACATGGCGGGTAGACAGGAGCATGTTGAGATGATGACATCTTGTGCATGTTACCCCCTGAAGCTGCTGAAACACTTGAAGCACCAACTTTAACATCTTCTACATTCTTTGCTGCCAATTCCATTGACTGTGCTAGTGTATAAGCCTTATTGTAATCCAGAGCTTTCTCTGCTAATAATCTCCTCTGTATTGCATCATTATTAATGCCACAAACTAGTCTGTCTCTAAGTGAATCATCAAGAGTAGTACCAAAGTCACATGTACTTGCCAATTTGCGCAACTCGGAAGCATACGCTGCAACACTCTCTTGAGACTTTCTATCCCTCTTGTGAAATTTAAGTCTTTCAACTATCACTGACGGTGTTGGGTGTTGATGATCGCGCATGACTTTCACTATCTCAGCAAACCTCATTTTCTTAGGTTTCGTAGGAGCGCACAAATTCCGGAGAAGTGTGTAGGCTGTCTTACCCATTCCACTAAGCAGAATAGCCCGTTTCATCACATCATCCTCGTCATCAACACCTCTAGCCGTAAAGTACAAGTCTAACCTCTCACAATAAATGTCCCAGCTGTCAGTCTCTGTATTAAATTCGTCGATCTTCCCGGAGGTAGACGACGCCATGTTTATGGAGCGAGTGAAACACGACGGACGTTAATCACACAAAATATCCACAAAAAACGCTAAGACATCCAGTTTTACCTCGTCGCCAATTTATGTGATGACTTTGGCAGCTACAACAATGATGCTCATTGTGATTGACTTACTGAGGCCATTCTTTAACAGACCTTCTCATCTCATGAGGATATTGTTTGAAATACATTTCTTGTAAACAAACTAAAACAGATGAACTATTTTATTCCGGGATGGCCTATTAAAGCTAGTGGTAAGTCAAGGCACCATGCATGTATATCTGTTATTATATGTGTTAACATTACGGTTTGGGACGTTAATAAAATACACTGACGCAAGTATATTCTAATCAAATCAACTGGATAATTCAATATGCTTTCTTTCGCATATTTCATAACATCACTACACAAAATTTAGACAGTTGCAGTAACACACTACGGTGATCGCATTAAACACCACTTTGAACAGTACTTCAGTTATATCACGGTGTATCAGACAAATGTGCGATAAAAGTGGTTCAGGCTATCCAACGGGTGTTCGCGAAAAGGTGAGCGCATCATGCCACACAACTCAAACACAAGCACGGAAACACACAATTATGCCCGTCATCACTATTACCGAGCATGTACATTATATTGTCCGTCAAAAACATGGACGAGTATAAACAATATGTTCCTACTGGTAATACATGTCATACATTTGACAAAATGTATTGACTCAGAGCATTAGTGTTAATCACAGCGTATAGACTCGGCATGCAGTTGAACTCATCACCCATCCCATTATTGATAATCCTTCTTGAAGATCTCTGAAATCAGAAGCTGCAATAGCGCATTTTTACACTTTATCTTTTAATTGGCATGTTAGACTTCTATTTCATAACTCAGTTTTCGTTGCACGGATCACTATGGAAGGGACATTGTCGCGTTGTGGTATTGTCGCATTGACGCCCTTACAAATTCAAGCAAAACGTGTCAAAATTAACCAAAGCGCGACAATTCGACAACGCGACATTTTGGCCATTTGTCGCATTGTTGCTCTTTGAATAATCTTTTAATTTTTTTCTTTATTTTACAAAAGGGCGACATTTCCAAGGTCAAAATATGTCTCGTTATCGCATTGTCGCCCCATCACAAATGTGTATAAAAGGCGTAAAGTTCAGTTAATGTTACAGTTAGGAAGCGGTAACCAAGTTATATCTGTCGTAGAAGTTGAACCTGATACATGTACGTCTTGAAATGAAAACACAAGTCCGTCCGCGAGTCCATAACGTTTTATTGTGAGCTCTTCTCTTTAAGTGCTTAGTGTTCAACTCCTAGTTCCAAACACGTAGTACCTCATCAACAATCCACATACCTCTAGTGCAGTGGTCTTCCGGAAGATCTTACTCTTGACCGTATCAGACAACTGACGAGTGCGCGCCTGACTGAGACCTCGTTACACCCCACCCAACCCCATGAGGTTTGCCGAAGGGAGAGGGGTAGGAAATGTGGGCTCCAGCCCAGCGCAGAGCTCGCGACACACTGTATACTGCAGTTGTATTCATTATGCTACATGCATATGTAGTACCTACTCACTTACTCTGTTTCGAATATTCATCAGTAGAAAATTTGTTATTAACCAGCTGTGTAGGAGAGATATCAGATTTTTATAAGCAGTCAAATAGGGATGATAAAGGACCCCTCGCTGATTAGCTTCTTGTTTACTTAAGAGCAGAGGTGGCCATGTTAGATGATATAACCAAAACCCCGAGCTCCGGCGGGGGACAAACTGGTGTTGTTATTGTGTGGTGTGAGTTGTGACATAGACCCAAGAGAATAATGTAAAAAATGAGACCAACTCAAGTCTACAATGATTGGGAAAGTCTAGATTTCCATAGCTCTAGCCTGAATTTAAGAATTGTGTGCTCCTTTTTAATTTTATTATTTTTATTTTGTAGACATGGATAGACCAACCAGGAAATAAATTGATGGAATATTAATATCACATGTTACCACTGATACAGTTAAATTCATCACACAATAATATATTAGTATTTAATATAACGAAGGGCATGATCATGTACATGTTTACTGTAGTAATGTACATTCAAGTCAACTTGATTATAATTTTTATTATAGTTTAGCGCGGCATCAACCATTACTATATGATATCCTCACTTGTCATCGATGTATTGACATCGAACAATGGACGACAATTCGAAATTCTTATTCAAGCTATAAATAGCTTCAATAGGGACAGTACCGTTGTCAGTAAAAATTTCGTAGTTGAAAATATGTATCTAAATATGTCCGTTACAGGCATTCTAATCATTATATTATACTTTGTATAGTTTAAAAGTCAAATAATGGCAAATTGTGTATCTTTCTGCATTTTTAATTCATCATCATTTCTGCAATAAAGCTTTAACATCAGATAGAGATATAAATACTATATGATCTATACTGTGATAAATGAATTAATAATTTCGTATTACGAATTAAATAAGCTGAAATATGATAGTACAAATAAATTATTTTAATCTGTTCGTGTGAGTAGGTAACGAGAGATCGAGGCAACTCACTAACGTAACCATTTGTGAAATATCAAATATTCAAAGTTTAGGGGTTTGAACATGTGCATTGAATGACAGACAAGAAAGCAACGCAATGATTAAATTATGAATCAAATTATGTTATAAATATAACAAAATATATAGAAAATAAAAGTTTAATTTCTCATTGTTGGAAGGTGTTTAATAATAGTTTTGTTTGATTGTTTGTTACTAAACGCCGCACTCAGCAATATACCAGCTATATGACGGTGGTTTGTAAATAATCCAGTCTGGGCCAGACAATCCAGTTATTATCATCAAGAGCACGATGACATGCATGAAACCAAGTCAGCGAGCCTGATCACCCGATAAGCATGGGTTGTTGAAGTCCTATTCTAACACGGATTTTCACGGGTAATTTGTTTTTAATAATAGGTGAGGTGAGGTGAAATTGGGTTTAACGTCGCGTCCCTTTTTTTTTTTAATAATAAGGTACAATGAAATTCTGTTTATGTCCATAATAAGTGTGTATATGTAGATGGATATTATGTCCATGCACGTCAATTAAATGGGTTAGACTGCATATGGTTCAATGATGAGCTTTTTTACAAGTCGATATTTCAAGACATGTATTTGATATTCATAACATCTCCACAAAAGCTACACAATGGCGACAAAACGGTACCAGCATCACAGATACCAATAATACATTTTTGAACATGATATACATAATTACTTTAAAGTTAAAACATGTATCAAAATAGAAAATTAGAAGGATTACAAATATAAACTTCCGACATTTTTCGTATTTATTTTCGTTTGGAGAGAGAAGTAGTGACTTGTATCTGATGGGTACAAATAGGTGTCGAGTCGCTGTCTCTGATGGCTCAAATTTCGTAGCTCTGGAGATCACCGTGGCGATACAGACCGTGAAGTAGTTTGTCTCACAGTCCCTGAACCATATTATTTTCCCTTCCGCCCAGGCCTTACTGCAATGCTATAGCCCCAAATGAAACAAGCCTAGATGTTTAATAGGTTCAGGCTGAAATTTCCATCCCACTAGGGCTCCTTATTAATTTAAATATAGTTTCTCGTTTTAACCAAAATGATATATTTTCAGAGAGTAAGCGTTAGTCTAACCGTGAAGTACAACTATCCAAAAGATTCCATGCATGTCTATATATCTTCAGAGAGACCCTCCATGTTCCTATCGATATGTGTCAAAAGACAAATGAATTAAATATTACAGCGCCGGTGAATAGGTTATATGCGCATGTCAGCGTCGATCCTACAATATCCTTTTTAGCGAAAAACAGATATACAGATGAATTAACGTAGTAATACTACGCAAATATATGTCCGGATGTATACATCAGTTTCATCTCGTGATCTTTATTCCTGCTTTTAGCTCTTTTTCTACAAGAAATTATGGGGTGTTTCACACCAGAAAGCCAGGTCCAAATTCAAGTCATAATTTCATGGTTCGTCTTGTATGTTGGAAACCAATATCGCAATATGGCTGAATATTGCTAAACGTCGTATTAACCCGATTACTCACATAATTATTCCATTTTCTTCA